CCACATTAGGGTAAGAAATCTCAAGTGGCTCTGTCTTCTGACTTCTTTTCCTCCAATCAAATATTTTATCTCTTCAGGAAATCTCTCCTCCTGTGTTTGTTTCACCCACAGTTTTCCACCTCTGTCTATTTCAATTGGCGTCAATGTAAGTCCTGGCAACAACACCTACAGGTTTGCCTTGCTTCTTCACTTTGGCCAACAACAGATCAGCAAAACGTCTCACCCATACTGTGACTCTTCTTAGTCGGTTCCAACCGGAATACTTTAGTGGATTCATGAACGGTTGTGAAATCTCTAATGCGAAGGTCATCTTCGGTTTGACTATCTCTCATTATCAAAGCCACTGAATACGTAACTTTCGGTTCTTCTTTCCGTATTTTGGTTTCTTTTCCCTTCTAGGAAAGTTTGAACGTCACTGTCCGTTAGTGATACGGATTTTTCAGTGTTTTAGCAGCCATAATCCGTAAAAATTCCGACAAAAGACCTTGGAATGAGAATGGTGAACCTGACCGAGTGGTGCGAAAGGCGAGTGAAGTGTCAGCAGCTGATTGGCGATATCAAACACACGTGAAAAAATACGATACGTGCAAACTGATTGGCGCACAAATTTTGTGTTTAGGTTGGTGCACTCCACTTTAAGGACATGTTTATCCTTATTTCCAGAAAATACCGAGCCTAACAAATTCTTTCCTTCAAAAATCTTTATCTAAGGCTTGTTTGTGTACAGTATTTAACCAAAATATTGTTTTTGCAAAGGAATTTTAGCAAAGACAATTTTAAAAATATTTGAAAAACGATGATGGCTGTGCTTCAAAAACCATTATTTGATAGTGTATCACTATCAGCTTAGCATTCCACGACAATTACTCCCGACAGGTGTTACAACTTTTCTCACAAAAGTTTGCAAATCGTTTATTGCTTGAGCATAGGGACACCCACTTGTCGCAGAAACCATCTGGGCGATCGTTCTCTCAAGCTGAAAGAAGATTTCAATAAACGTCAAGAAAACAATCGAAAACTTTTAGAAAAACAGAACAGGAAATATTTGAAAAAGTAGCAAAGTTACATTTCACTCCCTTAAAAATTCAATTGATATACAAGTCAAGTTTTATTATGGTTTTCCACAGGATTGCGGGAGCGGGTCCATACGGGTATTATGATAAGTGAAAGTATTTTGGTTCCCAACTGGCCTGGCAGTTACTTAATTAAGGCGAACTTCTGAGTAATGTGCAAGTTTTAGTCTTCAGCCTCTCACTTAAGACCCCGTGGAAAATAGAAATAGTTATTTTGTTACCTGGAAAATTTACATTTCTGTTGCACATCCTCCTTTGTCTAGCTTGTCCCAGTCTCCGGTGTTGATAGCACGTTTTTCCTCCAAATTTTGGCGCAGGATTGGTACGTGTTCGAGAGCGCAACTGAAATCCTATTCCGCATGACCTGCTACACTTACTCCCCCATGTAACCCATGAAGAGTTACCTCCGTCAACTGATAAGAGAAGTGTTATGGTACCATTACTTGAAAAATGAAATATTCTCTAGCGCTTAAAGTGCATTTATCATAGGGCATCCACTAACTGAGGAAGAAGTGTGAAAAATAGCTGATGAATGAGATCAAGTAGTCTCTGGCTAGTGCCTACAACAAGTTCATTGTAGTACCCGCATGATGCATTCGGTACGTGGCTCGATCTTTGGAATGGGTTTAACGCCATATTGAATATTATTGTGTTCATTCCTAGCTGTGTTCTATGCCTCTGAACTAAACAAATCAACTGCTGTTGCTCGCAAAAGAAAGGAATGTCTTGAAAAAAAAAACGATTATATGATCAGATAGAGAGAAAAAAATCAAAGCTTAACTAAAATAAAGATGACAAACCTGTTAAAAAACAGTGATTAAATGCTAGTGTAAATTTTTCCGCGCGTAACAATCAGCTGACCTGTCACATGGTGAAACTTTAAATTTTTTAAAGTCGAATCATTCAGAGAGTTCTTGGTTAATTTCGGTCTGAAATTACGAATGCATCGGCTTGGAAATTAACTGCTTACTGTTAGGGTTTGTGAGATACATGACTAAAATCTCTACATCCTTAAGATTTAGCTATATTTGATAGATTTTTTTTCTATCAATTCGATCGTTCTTCTCTTTTCTGGATGAGTGAGCTACAAGGAAGTTAATTAGCAAGTCGATATTTTTCTTGTTTGCGATAAATTAAACGCACATTTTTCTGTGCTTCTAAATTTTATTGCGACAGTCTTGCAAGAACCTATTCCCAAAATCCCCATGTCCATGTCTTGTTTTATTTTTGCGAGAGGAATAATTTTTACCTGGGCAACGAATTCTTTAACAATCCCTTGACCGTTGGCTAGATCCGATACAACTTCGTCCGTTATTTGCCGGTGGAGGATTGGTACAAGATTGGTACGAGTTCCCCTCCCGCATGATTTGCTCCAAGGAGACCACCAACGACTCCATTGTGACCAGCCTCCATGAACTGGGATATCTGAAATTAGTATCGATGCAAGCAAAGTAACGGATGACATCTAAAAAAAAAAATCATTTTTTTTTTTTTAAATGTTGAACTGAATAACTCAGTATCACCGAAAAGTATTTCCACCCTAGAAAAAAAACATCATTTTTCAGCTTTGAAGGGATCAATGTATCGGCGTTGGAGAAAACGACACGAAGAGATTTTGAATTATTGTGGATTATTACATTAATAATACACCTACACAAACTTTTGAATGTGCAAGTCACTCCCAAATATAGTAGAGAGTGAAATTTAGCCCAGAAGATCATTTTGATTGACAGTATGGTGCCCAATTGCGGTGTGATGAAACCAATTGGGCGCCAATTTTGGTAGGCCTAAAAAGGAGAAAAAACAGTTGGATTTATAAACAGTTTGTACACTTTGGGACTAATCAGCACGATGAAATATTTTAAAAAATTTGCGAGTGCTAGTTTATCCCAAACTGCGCGAGGAAAATCATGTGATTACAAGTTAATAATATACACGCAAAAATATAACTCTGTTCCTTTTAAGTGGTCTTTATTTCGTGTCATGGCTCATCCGTTCGGCCGCTTGCCTTAGCCTTTTTGCCGGAGTAGTCGGGCTTTTTCGCCAAGAATCCACTTCAAACTTTTAAAACCTCTCTCTAGAATAATTAAGCGTAATTATTCTTTCTCTGTTAGGTATCGGTTGACAGCAGTAACTATAAAACGAAAACTATCACTTCCGTAATCTTCCCCGTCTTTCGTAAGCACTGTTGCGTAAAACTCCTCGAGAATTTCATTCAGGGGATCCGGTTCATACTTTCATATCCGTTTTTGAAAGCCAGACTTAAAGCCAGTGATTTTTTTATTTGGTTGGGTGCCTTTATTTTTAGCATTCTCCCTTAAACTCTTAATAAAAACGTTGTTTATCATATAAACTTCGGTGTCAGACAAGGATTTCCAGCCCTGAGAAAAGCCATAACAACACATGTGAAAAAATACGATATTTTTCCATGTGTGATTCATATCGCCAATCAGCTGCTGACACGTCACTCGCCTTTCGCGCCACCCGGTCAGGTTAATGAATGAAAGGCAAAGCCTTTACCATTCTCAATCCAAAGTCGTTTGTCGGAGTTGTTTCAGATTATGGCTGCTAAAACACTGAAAAATTCGTATCGCTTATAGACAGTGACGTTCAAACTTCCCAAGAAGGGGAAGAAACCCAAAACAAGCAAAGAAAAACCGAAAGTTACGTATTCAATAGCTTTGGTAATGGCATTTCTCATAGCAGAGAACTGGACGAATTCCTACAGGCCGAGTTTGGCTGTGTACCTGAAAGATTTCTTCTGTCGGTAAGGACGGATTCAAAACCTGAGAATTTGTATATTGAAAATTAGGCCCATTGTTTGTTTTTGCAGTAATTCAATGCATGTTTTCTACTTCACGATTTTTATTCGAGGATAAAATAATAACAAAGCCGGCTTCTCCTGTCAATAAAGGGCTAGCGTATTTATATGATAAATAAATAATACATGATTGCTTGTGGATATGAAATTTCTCTTCTCGTGTTCAATTCAAATCTCACTAGTGGAGTTTGTTAGGGCTATAAAATTCAAGGCTCGATGCGATACATCCAATACCAATATCTCCTGTGTAATCATTGCGTTGTTGTAAAGTAGACACCTACCTCTCGGTGGTCCTGCCTAAATATTGTTTCTCTTGACTCTCCTAAGTGATGAGTCTGGAACTGATAAATGGGTGAGAGTGAATTTACGGTTTGTTTTAGGTAATCTTCCAAAGAGTAGTATAAATCAGAGAGTGTTTTTTTAATGCCGTATACGGTCTTTTTTTTGTAGGGCGGTCTGTCTCTTTTGTCCATTTTCTGCATTCCTCCGCACTTCTTGTAATGATCGAGAAGGATAGGAGCGACCCACAACAAAAAGAGACTTTTTAAGCAGCAAAGTTACGGACTGAGTATTGAAAACGCTCTGGTTGTTAATTCTCCTCTCCAGCTGCTACACATTTCTACGTAAATAAGATAATTTGGCTTTATCAACTGAGTCCATAATGTTGAGTACTGGTAGTTGTGAGAATTTGGTGAGATCAAGATAAATTCTTATCACCAGTTTGATGGATAATGTATGGATATTCTAGGGAGAAGGTACATGTTAATCGCCTCTGCGAGTTTCAGGGTAAATTCATTTAAAGAGGAAATATTTGGTCAAAATTGAGAGTTTTGGTCTTTTAAACATCTCACGCCTTCTAGGAGAATGACTTCCACACCAGGCTCACACCGTTAGCCGCCAAGATGACAAAAATTAATTTGTGAGGGATGGAGGGTTGAGAGATAAGCTGGGGGGGGGGG